CGGCTTTTTTCCTTGTTTTTTAACAAAAAATAAAACTATATTGAAAACTATATTTGATAGTAAAAATGTCCAGTACCACATTTTTGTTTTCACTTTATTTTAAACCCATATAATGTTTTAATATAAATCTTGTTTTCTTCTTGTTTTTTGTAATGTGTATTTTAAATCTATTAATGTCATATGATACACTGTTAATAGTAAAATGAAAGGATGTAGCAGTAATTATTTTAAGGGTTAAACATGTTAATAATCAATCATGTTCGAACACATAATTTAATGATTACATTTTTTAATTGTTTAATTTATGAAGGTTTATTCTTATATATTAATGCCAGTCAACAAACACGTGTTCTCAAAAAGGTGTTAATTAAATTTTTATTGTTTTGGTTTGAATATTTAAATTTTTCTGTTAAATTTTTAATGGTCATAATTTATTTTTCATTACACTTTTGGTCTTATTTTTTGAAGAAGCGAATAAAGTGCAGTTTTGTGCAAATCATTTAAAACCCCTTCCCAAAATAGCATATTTATTTATATCTGTGATTTTTTCTTTAAATTGAGATAAAAACGATCTCTTGTAAATTGAATTGTTTATTTATTGTAAAAAGATATACAGATAGCAGAATTAACAGGGACCACAGGAAAAACCAGGGACTAGAGTAATTTTAGCTATTGAATATCGAGCGGATTATATACAATAAAACGGGCAAATATATAAATAAGTGTGTAATTTTCTTATTATTTGGTCTTAAAAACAGTTATTTTTCGGGATATAAATAATGAATGTGTTGTATAAAGTATGAATAAACAACAGCTTAATGTGAGCTATAATAGTAAGTTTATTATTATTAATTATTGTTTTATTATAAAATATTATTCTTTTGTTCGACCTTGTTTAACTTCAACACAACCATTCAATTAAATCGTTCATTCATTTTTTCAAAGACACCAATGAATTCTTCTCTATTCACTCGGTAATATGATGAGTCACTTTTCGTTCAGCATTAAAAGTGATTCATGTAGTTTATAATAATAAAGTAAAGAATAAACAAATTATTGGAATGTTAGACATTCAGTAAATAATTGAAAATTATTAAAAGTATTAAACAATGGAAGATAAATCAATATAAAGAACAAACTTTTCTTTGGCTCGGCTGGGCTATAACAAATAAGACAACTCTGAATGATTATTTAAGAGTTTCATATTTTATAGTTTTTTTCTATTTTATTTGAAAAAGTGTGTTTATTAATAGTTGGTCCCTGTTTTTTGAAAATAAACCAACATATCCTCAAAACCCCGATTATTTGGGGATTTTTCTTTAACAATAAAACTTTATACCAAAAATAAAACAGCTTAATTTAGTCTGGTCCCTGGTTTTTCCTGTATGTGTAATGCCATTTTTCTTTTCTTTAAATATTTTTTTTTCAATTGAGGTTTGATTCCCTGCTCAAACTTATTATTTTAAGATATAATTTATTAATAATTATTTAAATATAAACTATAACACATTTATTATTATAAATTATTATAAAAACAATATATTATAAATAAACATATTGAAAAAACAGTGAAATTCTAATAATAAAAACAAACATTAAATAAATAAAAGAAACAAACAAACAAACATAAAGAAATGGTTTACACTTTAAAAAATTAAAAATGACAATACCAATAAATTTAAATCCATTATTGATGCCAAATTAAATAATACAGAAAGTAAAAAGGCTGCTCTTGACAAAGCAATAAGCGCTGTAAGTGAGAAATTTATATTCTCCAACAATCAATTGGGCATAGCTGTACTTGACCAATATCAACAGTACTTTAATTGTTTAAAAACGAATGCATATTGATTGTTGTAAATTTAACTCAACATATTCAGCGTGTCAAAAAGAAACATAATGACACTGTTAATGCAAGCAACAATATAATTCTGGAATTGCGTGCCAAAATCAACGACCTCTCTTGTATTGTCATGAAAAAAAATAAAAAAATTACTGAAACCAATGAAGAACTTGAAATAGTCAAAATTAGCGAAAAAATTCGCGAAAATAATAACGAAAAAACGACAAAATAGAGAAAATTCGAATAATTTGGCGAATGATAAAACTTGCTTTTGGTCGAAAAAAATCTACAATGATTGTGGCCAACTATTTTTGGCGCTGAAGTCGAAAAGATTTCGTTGATTAAATTGATGGAAAAAGAAAGATGGAAGATCAAGTCAAAATACCCAAGGCGAGGTCTCATCATTTAAACTTCAAGCCAATGCATCAGTTTCATTTTCATTGAAAAAAGATTGTGTTAAATATCGGAACCGCTAAAATTTGGTCACAATTAGATGTATTGTGATGGAAAGCCTACAATACAGATGATGTTGAAAATGTTGATGAAAACAAATTTAAGTCTGATTTTTAATTAACGATATTCCAAAAATACAACAAGGAAATTTACTATATCTGTTTTCATTATTTAATACATAGTATTTACCATCACTAATTTAAAACCATAAATACAGAGTAAATTTTTATTTGTTTTTACCATTTGATATTCTCAAAGAAACGTTGTCAATCGTTTTATTTGCTATTCAGATCAATCAGTTTCACCTTTTTACTTCACTACAACAATAAAACTTTTGTGGTTAACTATCGTAAGTGGTCTGCCGGTTGTGTTAATATTACTTTGAGATATGCCAGAAAAAATTACAATCTTTACATTTCTTGCATACTTTTTTGGATGTATAATTTGGTTAAAAAGTCAAAAATAAAAAAAAACAAAAAAACAATTATTTCAAAAAAGAAAAAAGCTATTGATTATAATTAAAACAACTATATTTATACTTAGTTTTTTCCATTGTTAATTAAAAATCAGACTTTACAGAATGTCGATTTTATTTTAGACAACACAAAGAACAAAATGAAAAAGCATATGATTTGACATCCATTTTGATCAACTAACAATTAAGAAGAAAAACGATACGATTTTGGATGGTTGAACAATATAATCAACGAGTTAAATGCCGAAGTCAATATATTTAGAAATAAGGTGACTCTACGAAGATGACGGGGACTGTAGAAATGAACAAGAAATATTAAAAAAATCAAAATAGTACGAGCCGATATTGATCAACAGAGAAAAATAACATACAATTAAATTCTCTGTTAATTATAATAAGGTAATAAATGAAAAAAGAAAATATTATTGAAATATCAGTATGAGCCGAAACTATTGAGAAGAATACTCATATATGTCAACAAAAAAGGTCAAGACTATATGATATTTGAAGGATACGTCAAAAAAGTCAAAAGAACAAAAATTAAATTTGACAAATAATGAGATAAATACAACAATTTGAAAATGATGTGTCTAAAATAAAACAGATTTGATAACTTTTGAACAAGTCGCCATGAATTACAAACAGTCAACAAGTGTGTATGTAAAAAAGTCAACCATGTGCATGACGTAAACTGTTCTTCTTTTTCCATCATGTGAGACGCTAGTTATCAAGCACCTGCTGGTGCGCCTTTTCAACTTCATCAAACAGAACAAAGCTGTATGTATTCTTTATGACTGTCTCTATCAGTTGTCCATTTTTGTCGTGTCCAACATTATCCAGTGGCGCTTCAATCAATCGTGAAACGCCGTGCGACTTCATGTATTCACTCGTGTCAATTCTGACGTTGTTGTTATAGTCGTCAAAAAGCTTATCTGCACATGTTTTTGCAATTTCTGTCTTGCCAATACCACTTGACCCAAGGAACATAAATGACTTGGTTGTTATTTGTCTGATGAAAGACAAACTTCTGCTTCTCAAAATATCATGCACAACAACTCTTTTGTGCAACTCGTCACCAAGTTTCAAGAGTCTTGTCTTCTCGTTTTGTGTCATTCTGTTTATTAAAATGCTTATCCATTTCGCTCGGCGATGTAGACATGTTAGAATTGCCTCTCATATTCAAGGTTTCTTTCCAGTATATTACAACTTGCTTAATGACAATATTGGTGTCGTATGTTCTTCGCATTCATTACACTTTCTCCTGTTGCACCTGCACCCAAAACAATGTTATTTTAATTATTATAAGAATGATTGGTATCTTCAACTCTTTCACTTATTCCAAAACAGATTTCAATCACTTCTCAAACAATCCTCTGTAGTGCTACCAACAATAAGTGCGCCCATTATAATTGCAATGACTCTACACTACAAGTTTGAAGGAACAATCCGTTTGCTATTCGCTGCGCCCAAATTCGACAACAGATGATGTATTACCAACACTGGGTTAACAATCAAGATGGGGTGTTATTTGTGGAAACATTGAATATTTTGCCATTGAATGAGCAACTTGTTTTTGAAAAAAAATCGCCGCGCAACAAATTTAAGTTAAGAAGAAAAAACGTGTAGATAAACTCCAAAAAGTGATGGTAAACTAAATAATATTTGGTAATTTTAAAAACAAGTTGAAAAATTTGTTAAATTGTTGACTACTCAAAAAGATGATTTACAGAAAAAACTTGAGAAAAAACAATAAAACCTGATGTAAGAAACTCAATGAGCTGGAGCTAAAGTTACAGATTTAAAAGCTAAATTTATTACAACAAATTCAATTAATATTTCAAAAGAAATATTTTCCGTGTCTGTCGATGCGTGTCAATTAGTTTGTGATAACCAATTTTAGATTGATGTAACTGCATGTCAAAATACAATAAGAAGCAATAAAAAAGCAAGAAAGTTGATTTTTACAAGAGAAACATTTAAAAATTATTAATATTTTAAAGTTTTTACGTAAATTATTTATTTATTAATTTCAATGTAATTAATTGTCAAGTAACAAATTACAAGGACTGACGGGTTTGAATTGTGTAATTATTGATTGATTGTTTTTTTAGAAATTTGTTTAAAAATATTGAGGGGTTTTAAAGTATTGATTGATTGATTTATTTAATACCCTCATTAAGTTATACAGTTTAAGTGTTTATTGTTTATGTCATATGTAATAATTGTTGTTTTTTGTTTTAAATTTTACTTGAAATTTCAATTTTTTCATTTTTAATTATAAATAAAGTTGAAAAATGAAAAGATAACTAAACTAAATATTATTATTTGTATTGGTTTTGGATTTATGTTAATGATTAATTTTCATTAACTTTATAATTTTGTTGAGTTATTTATGGTAAATAGTAATTCAATATCATATTCATACGGTTGGCATGATGGTAAAAACTTTTATTTATCATT